TAATTTTAAGAGCATCTCTCTGTACATACATAAAACATCAAAAGCTCCAGTGCTGTGTCCGGAGCTGCTCTGCGCCAGGAACAGCTGAGCTCTGCAGAGGGCTGTGACCCTCCACCCTGCCAGTGTCCCACTGTGGCTGCATGGGCCTCTGTACCCTCGGTGTCCCCCACAGCCTGGCTTCCTCGAATTCCCTTGGATACACACATGCGAGTGCGCACATTTGGACTCACTCTTAGCAGTTCATCTCCAGCACCAATATCCTTACGGTCCTTTGTCTCACAGCAGAGTTGAACAACACACTGTCTAGTTGTCAAAGGGCTTTAATGCTTGCTTTCCTATGGTTTAGATCAATGATCTCAGCACCTACAGGACCAACAAATTTCAACCATTCTCTATGAAAAACAAGAAAGGCATCTAAAGAGCAAATATTTTATGGTTGTCTCAAAGTATGGACAAATATGAACAAAAACACAAATGTTCTGGGTCTTGTAGACATGGTTAATAAACACTGTTACTCTCATGTGAATATACAAGAAATAGAAATGGAACCTGAAACATATAACAATGCGGAGGCAAAGGGAGAAATGAAAGAACAATTTCCCTAGTGATTTTCTTCTTTATGACACTGCCCCCATTCACTTATTAGGAAAAAAATGAATGAAAATACAGAACAGACCCTTCTACATTAAACAACTTCCTTTCTTTGTACAAAGTTAGGCCAGAGGTGTTCTGTTCAACAGTATAGTGACTGTGGATAAGATAAATGTACATATATTTCAAAAGAGCTAAAAGAGATGGCTTTTACTATTTCAACCCAAGGAAACGGAACATTGGCAAGCCTTGATTTTTTCATTTAGCATAACATCACATTGGCAGGGTGTGGTGGCACATGCTTATAATCCCAGCACTCGGTAGGATGACGGAGGAGGAATGCAATTTTGAGGCTAGTCTGAACTATACAGCTAGGTAGGGAGTTCAAGCCTAGCCTGGGGGACACAACAAGACATGCCCTATAGGTCTGAACAACTATCATGTGTCCATGTAACTAAAACCTCCATTCCGTACAGCTACCCTAGCTTCTCAGAGGTCATGCTCTCTAGCTGTACCCCGAGACGCCTGCTGTCTTTTCTACCCTTCCTTTCATAGCATCCTACATATCTATTCTGTTAGGGTACCCACTGTACCCGAAAGAGAATTCTTCATCGAGCAATACCTGCCTTGACACTGTGTAATTTGAGGATCTGTACTGTTTCCTTTGTCATAAACAGTGCTGGCAGGAGGAATTTTAGTCTTTCCAGTTACTTGGTGTGTTCTATGGTATTTAGGTTACATAAAATTGTAGCTTTTTCAAATTATCAGCAGATTCCTTTCTGAATCCACCGCACCAGCTCTACAGTGGCAGCCAAGAAGTGTGAGTGAAGATGCTTCCACACATTCAACTCAGTGCTGGGGTTTAAGCTTCCATTTCTTTGTTTTCCCTATTCCTAATTTGCTCTTGGTTTTTGTGGTGTGCCTATATTTCTGTACTCTTAGGACACTGGAAAGAGCCTTTCTCTTGTGGCCCATTTCCCAGGGTGGTCAGACAACAAAAACGCAGTAGAAACTTAAGTGCAAGTGAATGACACCCGCTTGCCCAGGCTCTGCATGGCCTCCATGGAATGTTCGAGTGCTGTTATTCACCTTTGTGACATGAGGTCAGAACACAAATGCTAACAACAGGGCAGTAAGAACAGCAGCTCCCATTTAAATTGGACTCGCTATGTTCTAGGCTCTCTTCTAAGTGCTGCTATAAAATCCTGAGTAAGTGCTACTGTCAGCAGCTCAATTAGAACAACACGGTGATAGGTTAGACGGCAGTGTGATCCCATTTGGCAGCTGAGATCAACTAATTTACCAAGGTCAAATGGCTACTAGAACTTAAACCCAGATAGCCCAACTCTACTACAAAGCCGAGCTCCCATGTGGAAAGGCTTTACTAACACTTGCTCTGCCTTCTTGGAGCATCTGTGGGCACTACTGTGCCATCCCACAAATCCTGGATCAGGCTTTCCTCGGGAATTGGACAGAAGGCCTTCTCCAATGAGGACAAGCCAGCCCGGATCTGAAGAAGTATGCAACAGCAAAAAGCCCTGCTGAGACCACTGCCCACGGCCAGGCTTGGCCATGGGTTCCTGGGCCATCTTTCTGTCCCCAGCCAGGCTTGCTGGAGCACAGAGGGGAGCTTCTCAAGCCCTTGCAACCTGGGATAAGAGAAAGGCTGAGTTTCACCTGCTACGACTGGTTAGGGTCCTGCTTCTGCACTTATTCTGCCGCTTCAGCAAGGACTGGCCTTCGGCAGAATCATCTCTAAGCAGACATGTTCTGGTTCTGGAAATGACCGATAAAGCAAGCTAGTTAAATGCAATGAACTAGAAGAGGATGGTTTATCTTAAGAGGAAAAAAAGTCGAAGCTACCTCTACTGAAGGAAATCCTATAAACAGAAACAAAGGGCCCATTAGACAGTACTTATGAGGTATTTAGACCCAGAGAACTCTGACTGCAGCAGACAACCAGGTTACACAGAAAGTGCTCTCAACTTGTTCAGAAGCTTGTTTAGTCTGCTTATCTCAAATGCAAGGTAATCATCCTAATCATTGTTTATGGTCAGACCAGGGTTGTCTTTCAAAAGAGCAGTCCAGGCCTAGCCCAGCCCACCCCAAGCAACACTCTCTCCAGGACCTCAAGCTTCTCTTCAGGAAGGATCACCATTCTGAGCCAGGAGACAGTAGACCACACTTATATTTCCTGTCTCGTCAAAGCAGACAGTTACGGCCAGCCTGATAGCTCAGCAGACTAAAGCACCTGCTTAGGCACAGCACAGCGGCCGGGGTTCAATCTCCAGTGTGCCATGCTGGCCCTGCCCCTGGGGCAGGCTGAGATTGAGACTGGGTGTGGTGGCCCACGCCTGTAATTCCAGCCCTTGGGAGGCTGAACACAGGAGAATCATTATGCATCCGATCTATGTACTGAGACCCTGTAGACCCTGTCCTAAATACAGAAAACAAACAAACAAACAGATGGTTAGCTCCAAAAAGACCAGTAAGGTATCATCTCTGTGGTTACTGCTATCTCTGACTCATAGATCACTTTGGAATAAAAACTTAAAAAAATACCAGAGACTACCGGGTTGGCTGGAGGGGAAGCAGGGAATTCACACTGCATTTCTCCTTTTCCTGGTGCAGACTCTACAACCTTGTGGCTGGTCAACAGGGCCTTTCCAACTGCAAGAGGATGTTCACAAAGTCTTCAAACTCCACCAATGGTCCACCTACTGGAATTCTACCTACTGGAATCAAAGGAGCAAATGTCTCAACTTCTGCTCCAGTAAGAGCAAAACTGGATTTGGAAGTAAGCAGACTGTTAACAAGGGAACAGTTAACGCACCCTCCCAGCTGGTTCAAATAAGGAGCCAATCTGTATGAGGCTTGGTCACCCAGAAACCCTCCTCCAATTAATGCATCACTGCTTCCCTAAAACCCAGAACAAATGAACAAAACATCCGGCTCCCCCATCCTGCAGGGTGCGGAGCAGTAACTATCCACTGGCCACTGAACTCCCTGTCATTTGCCTTTCAGGCCCACTCCAGAGCAGAACAGGAACACTGGGCTGGGCGCCGCAGACTTCCAATAGCTCAGGGAGTTGGCTCAGCAGCTGCAGAGCGTTCTCCTGAAGCAGAGGCCCAAGGGCGTCTCCCCAAGGGATCCAAGGCTGTGCTCTGGGAAAGGCTGACCCAAAATGCCAGGCCAGTGGTGATGGCGCAGGTGGGCGTGGTGGCTAAAGCCTTTAGGGAGGCTGAAACAAGAGGAACCTGGGTTCTAGGACATCCTGGGCGATTAATGAGTCCCTGTCTCAATAAAAACAATCATGGTGGTGCAACAGACATTTAACTGCCTAGCATGACCCCAGACAAACAGAGTAGTGGGGATTATCGCAATAGATGATCACAAAATCAAGACAGCCATAGCCTACAAACAGGAACACAGGAACATGTTCATTTGAGTTCCGCTGCTCTTTTTTGCAATGAGACTTTCCATGCAGGGTGTTTATCCATCTATAACTGGGACCTTGGGTGTGGGGAACACATATATCTAAAATTTATATTTGTAGTCTGTGGTCATATCGTAGGCTGGTAGTAAATTGTATACTTAATCAACAAATTTGATTTTAAAAAGGATTCCTTAACCGCACAACCAGATGTCTTCTTAAATCTGAAAAATAAACAAAAGCCTTTCAGATGGTGTATTCGGGATTTTTAAGTTTCACAAAGGTGCCCTTTTGAACTGTCCTGTACAGCCTCCTTTTTTGTTTTTGAAACAGGGTCTCACTATGTGGTTCAGGCTGGCCTTGAGCTCACTTTGTGCCCAGGCTGGCACCGAACTTTCAGGGATCCTGTCTCAGCTGCCCAAGTTCTTGGATTACAGGGATGCATCATTATACCCAGCCTAATTTTTTTCAAATATTTGGTTTATTCTGTGTCACCTCAGGAGTTGCATTTGAACTTTTACCAGAGAAGTTTAAAGGCGCCCACTGGCATAACCTGAGTCTCCCTTTGCAATGTACCAATCTACCAGGACAGATGCAGTGTTTCAAACCCTGATGGGGGAGGGCAGGGAAAGGGGCATTGAGGTGGCTCAGATCAGAGATCCTGCCTGACACACTGCAGTTGGAGAAGACCGGAAGGCCAACAAGAATGCCAGAGGGGAGGGCAGGAGTCTCCAGATGATCAGCCTCTTGGTGACCCCAGAGAACAGCAGTGAGAGTGAGCCTGTCCCCTCACCCTGCAGAAAGCAGCAAGCTCCCTCAGACCTTCCACCCTCTGAGCTCCAGCAACCACAGCAAGAGGGCAGGACCGGAAGAGACCTGTTCTGGCTGGATCCCCACAGCCTGTCTCTGGCTCTAAAATAAAACTCTCAACTTCTCAGCAAATGAGCTGGCAGGCGGGGGTGACAGGGCAGCACTGTTAGTCTGTCCTCTCCCCCACCAGGCCGGGCCCCAGAGCTCCATCCAGGTGAGACCTAGCTGAGAAGGGGTGGAGACGCCCCATCCTGCGCCTTTCCCTTTTCCGGTCGGCGCTGGGCAGGTGCCACGTCACCTGGGGCCTGGGCATGGCTCACCGCCATCCTGGGCTGGGTGCTCCCCACCGAATCCCAGCGGGGAGCTGCTCAGCATATAACAAAGAAAGATCTCGATCTTGGCAAAGTGAGCCAAGAGGCAGCTGAGAGACCGGATTTGCTCGGGCTCACCTCCTCCAGGGTTTCTAATGGGAAAAGAGGTGACATTTGGGACCCGTGGGCCCTCTTCTTGCTCATTTCAGCCATCGCCCTCACTCATCTCTGGGACAGCACTGACAAAGGTGGAGGTGGACTCCTAAAAGAGCCACAGCCTCAGGACCAACTTTGAAATTAGAGACCACACAAAAGTAACTTTCTCTTCCTTCGTTTGGCTCTGTGTGTTTTTAAATTTTTGCTTCAAGCTGCACCAACTATTTAAATATTCTGTCTGTCTCTGTGTCTGTCTCTGTCCCTCTCGCACTCTCATCAATGGCTGTCTCTTCGGGTCATGAAGTGTGCAAATAAACTCTTTTTCTTTTGTCTCAAAGCCAAAACACACTTCATGAAGAAGCAAGTTCCTCTCCTCCGCCCCCACGCGTGACCGGCAGCCAGCCACCGCGCCGAGACCAGCGCGTGGGCCAATCAGCAGCGCCCATCCGAGCTCCCTCCCCGCACACACCCGGAAGAGCAGTCTTTCCAGAGCTGCGACCCCAAGGCCCCAGGGCTGCCTGGCCTCAGGCCTCAAACCCAAGCCCCGCCTCTTTCTCCAAGAACCTCCCAGTGTACCTGCCCCTGGGGTTTAACTGGTCCTCCCTCCTTCGTTTCTGCCAGAGCCAGGTTGACTCACTGCCAGGAACCTTTGCTCCTTCCTCCTCTCCCCCCCCAACAATCCCAGTCACTCTTCCCAACATTCCCAGAGCAGTATCCCTGGAGCTGCCACTCCCTGGCTCGCCCAGCACGACGATGGCTCCTTCTCTGCAGACCTGCAGTTTACCCAAAGCCGAGCACATTCTTTTCCTCTCTAAGGCCTCACTCAGATTTGGGGCCTCTACCTTGCTCTAGAGGCCGGGGGACATGTTAACTGCCCCCACCACATCTCCTACATCTACTTGTGAACTTGGTAAATTTTACCTCACCAGTCTCTCCAAACTAGCTCTCAGAGTCCAGAGATAAGACCACAGCCCTAGTTCAAGTCCAAATCTGTCCTCACTGTCTTCTTGCTACTGTACTTTCAGATTATTGGGAGGCTAATGCCTAAGCCTCATTCTCTCCGCATGACAGCTGACAGCCAGCACACTCCCACTGCCACCTCCCTCCGTCCCTCCCAGTGCTCACCCCTCGGGAAGCCCCCCTCCCTGGGTCCATCCATGGAGCACACCCCGACCCTCCTGCCTGGTTATCTATGCACAGGGCCCCTCCCCACCAGGCGAAGCATGTTCTGTCACTGTGCAAGATCAGAGACTGCGCTCCATTTCTCCGCAAGGTCTCAGCACCCGTGAGGCTCTGTGAGTACCTGTGACACATAGCAGCCCTCGGGATACTGGATCGGTACTTTCAGGTTGCAGTTAATCCCATCTGTTTCTTACCACAGGGCAATCAATATCTCAATCAGATCCATTCTAGGGCTATTTAAAGGCAGTAGACTCCTAGACACAAAGATGGTGTCTATGTAAAACATTTGGTCTCACAACTTCTGTACTCTGGCATCTTTAATGTGATGGAGTGGAAGATGATGACAAGGACAATGACGTCAGCCGTGACAGGAAGCTGGGGATCATTAGACGTCCCTCCATTCGCTGTAGCTGCTTAAAACAGGACACGATGAGTCACAGAGCGACAGCTCACTTATCTTAAAATCCAGCCTGGAACCTCTGTGAAATATGCCTCTGAAAAGTCAAAATATGTACCAGGAAGTCTGTGTGCTGGTGCGTAGAGGCAGCGCCCAGGGCCGGGGGCATGTGGTCTGCACTCCAATCCTGTCTGTTGGGGCTCTAAATCCACCTTGGTGGCTGGTGTACTCTCATTCCTGAGGCACAAACACTATGTATAAAACGTGGGAAGCACAGGGTAGAAAGAGGGACTCAAAGTGCCTGCACAGTGGGGGCAGGACAAGAGCTAACTCTGTGCCCAAGAGGGGACATAGAGTACACAGCAGCCTGGGACACTTCGTGCTCAGGGACAGCACTGCAGCAAACCCTGATGGCACCCTCATAGATCACACTGCATAGACATGCTCTTTACCCTCCTGGTGACAATTGTGATAGCAAAAGGCATAGTCTATTAAACGTTCTCTACTTAGGAAGAATGGTGGCATTTTTTGTGACAAAAAAAAAAAAAGAGAGATTTAGTGCTTACTTAAGTAGACTGCTCTTATCTGGAAATTTTAGAAACTACTGAAATACCTAACAAATGAGCCGTTGCCTAACATCATCCAATGTGGAACTTGGAGCAGCCACGCCATAGCTCTTCCTCACCAGCCAAGAGTATCCAACCTAGAACAACTCAATTCCCTGGAGAACACATTTGTATATGCAGTTTTATTTTAAAATGCAGCGAAACAGGAAATCTTATCTGCCAAAAAATTACCAAATATAGCATGTCCCCCACCTCCTCATCCAGGCAGAACACAAATGAATGATTTGACTTCAGAGAGAGGAATGGATTCCAAGGCAGGTCGCACCTGTGAAGGGGCTTTCTTTGGCTCTTGTCCTCTCTCCTGTCCCTCACCCCTGCCTTTCACCACCATGGGTCAGACCCCCTCCCTGAGGTCCTAGAGCAGCTCAGATGAGGGAGGCAAGCTGGCTGGGTTTGCCCATTCTGACAGTCATATGGTCATCGTTCTCTTCGCAGCTCAGCAGGTACAACCCACAGAGATGCAGAGAAACAGAGGGCATGTAGCACCTGCTTACTTTCCATAAGAGATGGAAGTTCTCAGTGACAGTAAATGAAAAGCCTGTTGGATTAGAAAACATTAAATGGAAAACTTTCTCAAACAGGAAATTGTTGTGAAATATCAATGTACTGAATAAAAAAAGAAAGAAAAGGTAAAGAATGACCAGAAAGAATAAATTGGTAGGGTTAATCCCAGCACTCTGGGAGGCTAAGGCAAGAAGATCACAAGTTTGAGGCCAGCCTGGGCAATTTATGACTTAGCAAGGGCCTGCTCAAATTTTAAAATAATAATAATAATAATAATAATAATAATAATAATAATGGCTCACTGTAAAGATCCTGGGTACAAATTCTCAGTATGAGAGAGAAAAACAGAAAAGGAAGGAGAAAGGAAAGAAAAAGAAAAAGAAAGCTTAACCTGTACACAGTGTCAAGGAGTTAAGAACAGAGAATGCCGGAAAAGAAGCTGAAGTTTGGCCACTCATCTGATCATTCCTGCAAAACTGGAAATCTCACAACTGAGTATCTTAGCTCACTTCTCTTCCTGGTGACCAAATGGAAGGGAGCCCTTCCAGAGGACTGGAGAAGTTACCACAATATTCTCAACGTTGCTGTTTCTACCAAATGTCTCCAAACTGCCTATCACTGACATTTTGTCAACCTGCCAGTATTATGAAATTTCTTAAAAATAACATTTTTATTTAAGGCTCAAAATCTTCAAGTCTTCCACATAGTTGTTTTTTTTTTCTGCACAACTAAGTATTACACCAAACAGAAATAAATACCAATCATTCATTTATTCAACATTTACTGAACAGTTATTTTATGCTTGGTCCAAGGCGCTTTAAGAAATCACACATTATTGAAATTAGGGTGAATTCTATTTTGCATATGTGCTGTTTGGTGGTGTTTGACTTACACCAAAAGATAGCCTGACAAAGGTATTTGCGTTGCACCCCGCCTATTTGTGGTATACTCAAAAAGTATTATTAGAACAGCCCAAATCCAGGCTTGAGTCTCAGCTGTGTGACAGGCAAGCTGCGTGTCCTTGGGCGGGTTACCTAACTTCTCCAGACAATAATATTTCTTCACCTGTTGAATGCAGGACTGGGTTTCACAGTCATGATGAAGATTAAATGAGATATCAGATGTGAAGCACTTAACAAACCCTGGCACGTGGCAGGTAAGCAGTTGCTCATCTATCATGTGCTGGGCTTGATTCTAGGTACCAAGTTGGCAGAAGAAGAAATCCCAGCCCCCTCCTCTGTCCTCATCCTTCCCCTCAGCATCAGCAGTAACTGTCCAGGGCTCTGCAAACTGGGACGACGGTGGGTTTTCCAAAGGCCTTTTGGTTTAAGATCCCACTGTGCTGAGCACGTATCTGCACTTTCCCAAGAGGTCAGCCTGCACCCAGAATCCTCACAAGAAGACTACGTGACCCTATTCACCCGGGAACCCCAAAGCAGAGGGCTGAAGGGACCCACAACCAGCTTCACATTTAGGCAGAAATAAAATTTAAGAAACACAGCCTATTGTTTCTGGCCCTTTTGCTCTCAGGAGAAAGGTGATTTAATAGGAGGGGGCGCAGCTCTACTCGGGAAGTGCCCACATGAACTGCTCCATTGTTCCGCCTGCTCCCTGACTCATTTTTACGTTTCCTCTCTGTCCTTCCCAGGCCTCCCTCAAGTTCTGGTGTGTTCCTTATGGGGCACAATAGAGTCTCTGTGAGATTCTTATTCTTTTGTTTGTTTTGGGTTTTTTTGTGGAACCGGGGATTGAACTCAGGCCCTTGTACTTGCCAGGAAAGCGCTTATTCCACTGAGCCATCACCCTGGCCCCTCTCTGTGAGATTCTAATGTGCAATAAAACCAGCTATGAGGGCAAGAATAGTTTATGCACAAAATGCAAGGCCCGGAGCCAGGAGCCACCAGTGGCGCACCCTGTAATCCCAGTACTCTGGAAGGCTGAGGCAGGAGGACTGCATTTCAAAATGAACAACTTATGGAGACTGTCTCAATACAAAATATTAAGGGTTCAATCCCTGGCCCCACATGCCCCGCTGGCCCCTGGGGTGCACTGAGCCAGAGATTGAGTCCAGGCATGGTGGCACACACCTGTAATCCCAGTGCTGAGGAGGCTGAAAACAGGCGGATCACTACAAGTCTGAGCTGCATAGTGAGACCCTGTACTGAAATACATAAATGAAAAATATATGTATATTAAACTGAAATGAAAAAAGAGCTGAGGCATACCACAAAAATGGGAGTGCAGTCAAGTTTACATGAGTTGTGTATTTCATAGTACTTTCTAACAGTTCAGTTGATTGAGTTGATTAAAAAAATTAACTAAAGAGCCAGGCAGATAGCTGAGTGGCATAAACACCTGCCTGGCAAGCACAAGGTCATGACTTCCATTCCTGGTACCAATAAATAGATAAATAAATAAATAACTTAGCTAAAAGCCTTAAGTGTTTATAAGATTATATTCAAGTCAGAAGCATGCGATTGATACACACCCTTTGGGAGTAAAACCTCGAACAAAGTCCCGAGTGGTCTGCTTCTGCCCTAGCACAGCCAGCCACCTGATCCGGCAAGGAAGAAACTGGCAGAACTGATTTTCCGCAGAAGAGGGTGCAAGGACCACAGGCAGCCCTGGCACTCTGCAGCCTAGCTCACTTGGCTTTGAAGCTCAACCCTCATCCCATCTCTGTCTCCACCATCAAGGTGGTTTTTAAATGTCTCCAATCCTCCCTGACCTCATCTGAAACACAGACTTCTAAGAAGACTAACCTGAAGGGAGGATGGGAACAGAGCGTGGGAACACAGCAGGCGTCCAGGAAAGGTGTTTCCCTGCCTCCCTGCCCCCAATGCCCCCACCTTTTCTTGCCCTCCACTGTTATTACAGCTCTCCTAGGCCCCTGCCCTTCATCTACTTTTTCAACCTCTTGCCTGCTACTCCTCCAAACCACCCCAACCTGCTATTAGAAATAGCCCTCAAAAAAAAAAAAAAAATCAGAAATGTGACGGGCCCTTTTCGCCACACATCCCGCTCTGGCCATCACATTCAGAGCCAGTCTGCATTCAGGGCAAAGTCCCCTTGCAGCCCATCTGTTCAGCCTGGCCTGCCTGCACCACATAGCCCTGCCCCTGAACGGCAGAGGCGTCTGCGTTTCAGGAAGGCAGCCATTGTTCCTGGAAGGTGCCATCTGTTCTGGGGCACTGCCTCTGCTGCACCCCTCCTGGCCACCGCCCCCTTCTCCCCTCCACCCACTGCAAGACTCCACTGCAGAGGCTGGCTCCAGCACCCCTCCCTCTCTGAATGCCTCCCTGACTTCCTTGGCTGACCCAGTGACATGCCACTCCTACAGCAGTGACGCCTTCCTCAGGTGTATTACTTCAACTCTGTGCCCCATCACCATAGCCACGACGGTCCTTCTCCACTACATGATTAGTTTTTCCACAACCGACCGAGTATCACTCGAGCTTTTAAAAAAATTACCTGCAAGTTTTATCTCTGCTCTCAAGAAAATGATGGAACCAAATAGATAATTTCTTGAACTGAAAGGACAGAGTGAGAATAAAAGAGGCTCAAAAAATATCTTTATGAATAGAGGAATTTCTGAGTGGAGAGAAATCCTCTTGTGACTGATGAGTCTATTTCCCTCCCCTTGAACGTGAGCGGCCTTCACTAGGAGGACCAGGAGAGGCCCGAGTGGTGTTGGGCCATTTCCTCAGCCCAGTTACTGAGCAGGACAGCTTTGGTCTTGGTTTTCTAGAACCCAGAGCCCTCCCATAAGAACTGTGATTATCCTCATGGGAAAGTCATGTGGAGAGGTAGCCCAGGGAGCTCAGGCTTCGAAGGAGCCTTGCCAAGGTGCCAGGTGGGGGAGAAAATCCCCCCAGCCCTCCATGCTGACCACTGACTCATACCCTCGAGTGACCACAGCCAAGTCCACCAGGACAGAAGAATCACCTACTGGGTCCTGCTTAAAGTCATGATCAACACAATCACACACACTTAAATGATGATTTTTTTTCTGTTTCCGTTTTTGTTTTGCTAACCCATCACGCTTTGGTGTGCCTTGCTAGACAGCAGCAGGTAACCAGCTGGGCCACCATCTTCATCATATTTGCCTCGGCATCCTGTGGTACCCTACGTAACAGAAGGGGAACACTTAGTTGACAAAGGGTAACATAGCTAGCAAAGGGAAAACTGAACTTAAAGAAGTGATATTACACATTATTACAAGTCTGTAATCTCAACTAAATGCTCAGCACTTAAAAGTAGCCTCCCTGTCTTATGCTACAGCTCCTCTATGGGAGGTGGCAGCAAGCCCCCAACACCATTAGCTTGAACCTGTTATTTATGGACAGCTCAGCAAAGACACCACCAATGGTAAAAACATAAGCCCTCATCTTCACTTTGAGAGAGGAGAGGACAGACTTTCAGGAGCATGTAGACAGATGCAGTTAATAGATAACTTCAGAAGCCACCCGGTATAACACTGCACCGGAAGCGGAGGGACCTTCCATTCTGTCCTTCACCGCTCTCTCTTCCTGGGCAGGTGATGAACATATGTGTGTCTTCACTTGTGCAGCTACCATGTGTGGAAATGCACACGTGCTGACAGAGGAGCGACATGAATGGAAAACACCTTCAGTTCGCTGGCCCAGAACCACTTAGGCTGACTCAAGGTATCGGCGTTATTTGGAGGATATGTGATTCTAGTGTGTGCAAGCGCCTGAATTAGTGACCACAACGCCACGTGCTGGGTCAGCCAAGCATATGTCTGACATGTGCCAGCCTTCCCTTTTGTCACCTGTAAAGTAGAGCAAATAGAACCACACCAAAGTGAATGGCAGATCTGACTCACTCTTGAAGGAGACAGAACAAGTGTTGAAGGCTGAAAATAATCACCTGTGTCATAAGTCTGGGTCTTCTACAAGACAAATGGGGCCAGGCAGAATGTGGTGGGGAGGTTGAAACTTCTGTGTGCAGTGCTCGGTGCTGTTCAGGCACTAAGAGCTCAGCAGAAGGCCTGGGTGATCAGAGCACAGGCCCTACTCTGTTCTCAGAGGCGTGGACTCTCCGTCCATTAGGAAACATCAATCGCATCACATCACTCGCCCTCCTGCAG